TTCACTTAAACGGGATACACTGGTGCCTTGAATATTAACGTCTGCTCCTCAAAAGATCATACCCTGGGTTTGTCTGCCTGAGGAACTTGCAATCCTGTTACACTTAATGCCATTTAAAAATGCTGTTCCATGCCTAACTAAGATTATGGAGCCTAACTCTGAACACCGTTTGTTTCAGTATTTTGGTCTCAACTATGATTAATTTTTTAAAAGTAACTAAATATGTACACCATGATTTATATGTATTACTATGAAGACAACCTCAGCAGAGGGTTTTATTACCATTTCGATGCAATTAACTCCAGACTCAAATTGAGGTACTCCAGCAGGCCAGTCTGAGGCATCTCCAAAACTCCCAGGCCAGCATCCTTCACCACTAACAGGTAAGGGAAAAAAATCCTAAGCAAACATTTCAATTAGCCTGCATGGTTTACAAGTGTGTAAATCCACAGCGCAAGTGCACAGAAACAAGTAGCGATTACTTCCTCTGAAGCATATTCCTTGAAAATAGCATAGAAATATGAAATATTATATAATTTAAAGTCTGGTAAGAATTCAGGAAAAATAAGGCATAATTATACTTTCCTCCTATTCTGGCCATCTGATTAAAAAAAATGCAGCAACGGCAACTTTCAGCTGCCCAGTTGTGTTTGCTTACATTCAGTACCAATGATCAGCTTTCCAGATACCAACATATTTTCTGTAAACAGGTTTTAGAATAGAAATCTATACTTTACCTGAAGCTTTAAGTGTTGTTCCTTGGGCATCCAGTGGTGCTGTTAAGGTTAGACAGCTAGTCACTAGCTAGTTACAGCTAGTTCAAGAACAGCTCAACTCTCCTGCAATGTCTACAGCTAAACTTGAATAAAATACTGAGATGCCCTACCGTAAGCCTTTTATTTTTCCAAATCAAAAGCTTTTTATTTCATACTTAAAGTGCTCAGTTGATTCTAAAGAGTAATACTAAGCCTGGTTCTACTTTGTATTGCACCTTTTAAATATCTTCAGAAGACTGGATTTCCACACCCTCTCCCAAGGTGCAATCAAGTCGTCTGGGTACCCTGTGCAAGCCCCACATACACACATTAGCACCTGGCACCAGCCAAAAAGAACCTCAAACAGCATTTAATCAAATCTTGTTATAATAGTAGGATTGGCCTTTTTCAAAAGTGATACGGCACACATTTTCTTATTGTTTCGCTGCAGATATAACTTACCAGGAAAAGGCGTGGCAACAATGATGGCTCCTATAAGAATCTTCCAAGAGTGAATCATGATGATTACTACAAATGCCGATTTTAAAACGGCAAGAAAATTTTGGGAGTCTCCATTTTAACAACTTCGTATTTTAATATTCTAAACTGTATGGGATTTTTTTCTATTCCATTTTACCATAGTAAACTAAAATAGTTCAAAATTAGTAAGCATTTCTAACGTTTACTTTTTGTTTTTAAACACAGAGGTAAAAGGCATTAGCCCCATGCCTTGTGGTTTAGAAACTGAAAAATAATTCTACTGGCTTACTGAATTTGGCATCACAGCGAGATACTTATTTTGCAAGTTGGTTTTACCAAAATGTTTAGTGTTTCTTCAGTTATGTGTGTACACTGCAGATTACACAACTGTACACTTCAGCTAACTTGTTTCTTACAAAAAAGTTGAAGCAAACATAGATCATCCCTTTCAAATAAGACACGGGACTTTTCTTTTAAAGACCGTCTAAAAAGAAAACTACTGACATCAGAACAGTCTAGCTCTGTTTATCTAATGACGAGATGGCAAAAGCCTTTCAACTAGTCGTGCATCCAATACCTGCTCTTCTCCCACTTTTGTTACTGAAAATAAGACATTGTTCATAACCACCTCAAGGACCTTTTCTTTTTGTCCCACTCTGCACCTCATCAGGTTGAGACCCGCACCCAAATTGCTTGTTCAGTTAAAACAAAACACCAAACAAAATCCTCACAGCTTGGTATTTGGTTCACCTACACCCAATCAACACAATGTTTTTGTGGAACATTTATTACACTACTTGCTGGACAAGCACTTTTTTTGTGGTCATGGACCACATTACTATTCCCATGTAATAAGATAGACAACAAGAAATGAACCTGAAGAAGCAGTGTTTGGTGCAATACACAGAGACCAAGAGCAGATGCAAGAAATACAGAGGATAATCTCCAAATTTAAGTTTGCCTGTGGATAGTGCTCAGCTTCTCAAGAGCCATAGGTGTAAAATATCCAAACAGATTAAGTGGTATTATTGCTTTCTAAAACTGCACGCTGATGTTGTATGGCAATACCTTTTTCTTGAGCAAATAAATATCCTTTGGCTTTCCATGACACAAACCTCTATAGTAAAGGAGGGAATGGAAGGTTTGTCCAGGGCTGGTAGGTTTCCAAAGTAGTTTTGCAAGACTACAATTTATATATAAATTGACTGCTGCAGTCACTAATAGCTAAGCTTACATTTCACTGCGATAAAAATCTTGCTTAGCTCACAGTGCAATGCGAAAGCTATAGTCCTGCCCATCACTCCCTATTTAGCTACACAGAGCAACGAATTCTAAATTATTCAATTAAAACAGCAAGACTGTAATTTGTCTGTACACCCTATGTGTGGCACTATGCCACAACTGCCCTGCGTGAATGGATTGTTAATTTTTTTTTTAACCTAAATACAAATCTCAGTAAAAAGACTGACTGCATTTTTCTCTTTTCATCTTTTTCAATGTCACTTCACAAATTTTTAGCAGAACAGCTGTCTTTGCACCTGCACTTTACGAGGTAATAGTGATTATGTCACAGCGTGTAAAAGTGTGGCCATTAGTACTTACAGATAACATGTTGTTCAGGTTATAGCATGAAGTGATACCAAACCATCTTTAGTCAAATCTTAGTGCACAAGGCGCTAAGTTTTTCTTTTGACTTTTGTGAGCAAGATTTTGTGTGTTTGTAGAAGACCTATTACACCCATATATTTGCAATTTAAAATGACTCTTGTTTATGACACATACAGCAATGAAAACTATATCCACAACTGGTAACATACTGTTTTAGCGAAAGAAAAAAAGAACTTACCTGTTTGAAAAAGAACACTTGACAAACACCACTCACAAACTACTCCTGCACTGATATCTACTGGAGTTTTCAGCAGCACCCATCCCTCTAACTAGAGTGTCCTCACAAAGCTAGTAACTGAAAGTTACACAAGGCTAACAACAGTCTAGCTTGCTTTCTACCCCCTACAATTTTAGGATTCACATTTTCAATTTAATATTCACATCCTCCTGCAGCGTGAAGCCCCACTCTGGCTTTATAGGTGAAAATGAGATGTATCATCCAGAGCTAGTATCACATCTCTGATTCTGAACATCCTTTGGACAACAAGTTAGTAGAGAAAATATATTACTGGAATTAGGAGATGAAAACTGCTTAGAAATCTAATTAAAGAGAAATTTGAGACTATTACTTAAGAAATCATTATACTGCCTGTACAAGCTGAAAGCTGCTGTTTTCCTTAACGAAAGAAAGGGGGAAAAGCCTAAAAATTAACAGTGGATTCTCAATCATAATAACAATTAACATTATGAATGCTGCCAAATTTCAAATGAAGAAAGAATAAGTCTAATCTGTAAACCAAGGACTGGTATTAGCAAACTTAGAGCAAAACCACCTTGTATCACTAGCTCAACAAGAGGCGCCAGCCTAGGTGTCCAATTCTTTTAGGCATTTATACTTCATTATCAGAGATGCTCACAACATCTGAAAAAAATAGTATCGATATAAAAATATAAGTATCACTGCTCATTTACAAAAACTCAAAGAGGTTTAAAAAATAACACATAGTTGTATAGTTGGTAAATGTTTCAAGGACAGATGGGTTAGGGATAGGTAAAAGACGAGCAGCCCTTCTAAACCGTCTCCCTCAAATTCTCCCACCTATTGAGAGAATGAAGAAACGCGAGTTTGAAATATTCCAAGATCATCTTACTCCTTGGGTGCACACACGAGTGCGGGAGTCCACAGTATGATTCTTCTCCCCAGTGGCAAGCACCAAAGCAATTATGTAGGATAAACAGCAAAGTGATTATCTAACCACATCTGTTAGCGAATTACAGGCCTCTCAGCAGCGGCGATGCACTGCTATCAATGCACCGATAAAATGCTTAAAGCCAGTGTCCTAAATCAAAACTATCATTACATTAGTTACCAAGTACTCACCGTGCCTATGGGTGCTTCAGCTGTAGCATCAGTGAAGAAGAGTTTATTATTGGATAGGAAGACTGTCAAAGCAGAGTTGAGCTATAGCTCCAGAATCTTTATGGATTTGAACTACTTTTGATTGAGCCATCAAGGTCCCCCGGCTCACACCTCTTCTGGCTCCCAGAAGATTGGGAATTCAGATTATTTAGCTGCTTGGTGCAGGGTTTTAAATCAGAGATTCATTTTGAAAATTGTTTTAGCTGTACAATTTTTTGAGAGGTACTAAGAGGTAGTCTACAATTTTGAAAAAGTGTGGTTGGTATCTAGGCACCTTCATAGACGCATTGACATCGGTTTGCTGTTTCACAGGACAGATTTACACATCAAAACTGAACAACTTGATTTATTTAAAATTCACCTGAAAATGCATTGTGTTTAGTTTTTTTTTTTTTTAAAATGCACATTCAACATCAAAATATTACTAATTTTAAAAGAACCTTTGTTAAGAATAAGATAATTTACATACTGTAGATTGTGGCTGTGAGGGGAGAGAAACAACCAATGGTAGATTAGGCACAGTACTAAGGCCCACATGCCAGAAAACAACACAGCTCTATGCTCAACTTTTAAATGATCTGGACAAAACAAAACAATTGGGCGGGAAAATAAAACCAACCGCTTACTTGAGGGTGTTTGTGTAGGAAAAAAAAAGTGTTAGTAGGTTTTCTATCTAGACCTAACTCATTCACGTATTTAAAGAACTCTATCTTCTTCCAAATAACAAAACACGTTTCTAAACCAAGGCAGATTATTATTTGGAACTGGCATAGTAAAATAAAGGATCACAGTATACAGAGCTTAAAATCCTGTACCAGGAAAGAGCAACAAGTGGTTTACAAGGGGATCATTTAAGTATATTATCTAATTTTTAAAAACAGAGATATAAAATATCAGTTGCATAGGGATTTAAATATAAGGCCAAGCAGGAGATTAAAGTAAAATAGAGATCATAAGAAGGGCACTATGGTGTCAAAACATAGTATTTCCATTTGAATTAATGTCTAATTCAAAATCACAGTATTTTGCTAGTACTACAAACAGTGAATGTCAAACTGTCCCATTAATCTTGAACTGAAAACTGACATTAGAACTTCTAAATAGTACAAAACTAAAGCTCATTGTCTAAACCTGATCAGTGTATTAGCACAATAGTGCTTGGTACGTACCTGATTTATATACTCTACCTTCTGTAAATAATATAAAGGTTATTTCTTGTTAATAAGTGTGAGATCACAATATTACTGCATGCCATCAGTGGTTTGCAGGCTTACTTGGTATTTAATTATTCAGTCTTTAAAAGTGTAAGATCCCACCCTGCAGAATCTTCACCCATTGAACACAGAACACTGTCATTAATAAAATACAATAGAAGTTCCACCACTAACAACTAACATATAAGCCAGGATTGTAGGTCTAAACCCAGTACAGTTCATTATTATTAACTCACAGCAATTTTTGTTAGGAAGGTAACCTGTAGACTTCCAAATAATCTTGCGTGTATTAAATATAAACAAGTATGTAACTAACGGTCGTCTCTTGGCATTTCAAGTAGATTATTCAATTGTGAAAGTATTTCCGCAAAAATCAATTTTAAGTTGTTAAAATGAAGTTCAAATATTAATTTCCGTATCTACATGTAGCTTAATTAACCTAAAATTGTAAGGCATAGTAGTGTAAAGAAAAAAAAAATTCTCCAGATGAATTAAGCGTTAAGGTACACTAACTGGGAATACCTGAACCAACATCGTAACTGAAAAAGTGCATAAACATAGTAATACTACAAATGTGTTAACTACAGAACAAAAGGTTTTCTGAAAGCTAAGCAATACTATTTTACATGTTATTTACAGGTTGCAATTTTTCCAGAGACCACAGAGCCAATTTACGATCTTAAAATTCCTTTGATATATTCGAAGTGCCCTTTGGCTTCCATCCTATTCCATCAAGAACCTATTCACACACCAGTGAATCAGGTACTGTACAGTCGAACAACACTGCCATTGTGGTTCTGTAATTCTTCAAAATTCACTCCTTTCTGTTCTTTGAAGAAAAAGCAGTATTTTCATTTCACACTTTTCGTAGGTGTTTCAGATTCTGTAGACTGTCTCCCATCAGTCCATGCCTCTCGTGTGCTCTTCAGTGCTAGTGTTTTCTGCTGGTCGACCACAACGTAATCAACTCTTTCATCTGCCACGCTGCTGCCTGAACCACTGCTCTTTTTCTAGGAAAGGCAAGGAAGGGTGAAAAACATGTGAAAATAAATTAACAACAAAAAGTAAGTAGATGTCCCAAACAGATACAGAACGAGCACAGGTTTCTCTGAAAGGTCCAACATAGGCTCTCAGACTGACCATTCGACAAACTAGTGAAGATGATCTTGCTGGAAGCTCCCTCTTTCCCAGCAACTACTTGTGAAGAAGTTTTAAACTCTTGATGGCAGAAATACAAGAGTTGAAGATTTGCTTACCTTACGAGGTGGGGTAGACTTTCCCGAATCTAGGTCCAGATCTAAATATTCTACTTGTTTATCTCCTTTAGGTTTTACCATAGGGCTGCTTCCTCCATCAAGACTGTTGCTTCCGAACAAATTCTGAAATTATAATATAAATAACTTAGCTAAAAACATATGTGCTAATGGTCCATATTATCAAATACGCTTATTATAAACTGCCAAAATATTAAACGTTAAAGAACTGACTGAGAGCTCTTGCAATCAGTTAAACCATGCAAATTTTATTGACATTGTATAACAAGGGGATATATTCTAAGTCAAAATTGGGACAGAGTCGAAAGCCAATGGGGGGGAAACCCCAAAACCAACCCCTCAAATTTAAGGTTGCCACCAAACCAATCTGTGCCTTCCACCTAATGTCCCTTTCATATCATGAGGTAAGAATGGAGTGTGGTTTGTTCTTTTTAAATGAAGTTGTTACATCTCAAATTTAGCATTACTCAATTACGAACTTTTCTATTTCCTTAAATTGCTGTTAAATACCTTACAAGAATTTCAGCCTTACAATAGTGGCGAAACTTCAAATGAAAGTTTCACATTTCATTCAAAGGCCATCATGATTAAGCTGAAAATCAAAAAGTATTGTTCAATTGATAAGACCAAAAGATTAAAACTTAAGAAAATTTGTGTAGGGCCGCCTGAACTGAAGTTGCATTGCATATACCTAAATTTCGATTAGCCCAGACTTTCACAACCTCACCTCCTCTGTCCTCTCCCAGCCTGATCCCTCCCTCTTAACAGGTGTTATAGGAACAGTACAATAGAAGGACTCTTCTCTAAAAGATAAAGAAAAAAAAAGGAAGACAGAGGGCAGCAGTCAGCAAAAAATGAAGAGGAAGGCAGAAGGAAAGACAGAAGGGTAAGGCTGACAGCAACTTGAAAGAAAAAGCAGAATATTGCTGATTTTATTAAATAAAACAGAAGTACGACATGTCCAAACAAGATGCTTTGAAGCTGATGACAGAAAAAGATGAAAAGTGTGGACTCCTTTCTAAGATGCAGTTGGAACAAATAAAAATTTCCAAAACGTCTATGTAATTGGCACATTTTAAAACAAAGGCCTTGAGATATCTGGAAACGTGCTGGTTCTCTAGGAAATAAAATATTTTATGGGTTAAGGCTTAATGGGCTGGGCTTTTGAAATTGAAGTTAACCATTATATCTGTATCGTCCAACTCATTTAATATTAAGTGGTAACAAGGACAAACACAAACAACTGAGACAAAGTTCATTTTTGTTGCCCAAATTCTCTAAACAAACGTCTGCATATTTAACATACAAAAATCAGGTTCTGTATCAATGTTTCCAGCATAAATAAAAAAGCTATTACTCTTTAAACAAAAAATAATCTGTTATTTCAAACAAACTAGACAGGCAGAACATATGCATTAGAAAACAGAAACTTTAAATGTACGTAAATGAAAATGAAAGGAAATCTGTAGAACAATCTTGAAGAACGAACGGTGCAAGCAAACAGAAGATATTAATGACAGGCCGTCTGAGCAGTGATACTAATTATACCGTCTTGGCACTGAAGTTAAACCCCTGAAATGGGGATTCTTGTAAGAATCAACAGAAAACCCCAATTTGAACTGCGATTCTGCTGCAGGCAGAACTGTGGGAACAGGCGATTCCAACCCTTTGTGTAAAATGGGACGTTTCTTGCATTTGTAGAATGGGACATCACTTACCAATGCCTCTTGCAAGAGAGGGGCTAAGTTTTTACATCATCGGCTCCCCACTGCTGAGGCGCACTTCACCTGGGAAGCACGCCTGCGCTGCTGGCAGGTCAGACAGGGTACAAAGCACAAGCCAGGGTGCTCTGCAGGCTCGTGAGCTTGCACCGAGTCAGAGCTGCCGCAGAGAAGTCAGCAGGAGGGGCTCGCTCTGGGGGACCTAAGAAGCGGTATCCAGAGGCAGCAATGGTGAGCTGGAGGGGAGGGAGACTGGAGGAGATCAGGGCGGGTATCCAGAGCAGCAGGGGATGGGGAAGCAAGCAGCACTGGGAGAGGAGGAGAGTCCAGGGTGTAGTGAAATGGGCTAGCACATGCCATATAAGAAGGCAGACAAACAAACAGGGAGAAAAAAAAAAAAAAAAAAAGGTGCTAGACATTACCTCCCCAACGAAGGTCTTTCGTAATGCTTTAAAGATGAAAAATGCTGCTATATTCCCTACTAAGAACCCAAGACATAAAAATGTGGTGAATGCATTGAACTATACTGAACAAAAAGCTGAGCGAAAGACACAGGTTTTCCTCCAGTGCTTTAGGGGTATTCTGGACCACATTTTAGTTTAGGCCCAGGTCTACTGCTACTGTCTTACTTTAAAATACTATTATTAGTTCTTCTTTCTCTCTCTCTCCTTCCCCCCCCAGCCAAGCAAAAAGCACAGCACGCATCATGAGTTTTTCCTAACTAGCTCTTCACTTACTGCACTGCAAGCTGAATATCTGAAACTTTATTATCTGAGAAAATTCTCCACAAAAGGGGAAAAAAAAATACAGATATTCAATACACAAAGACCCGTTCTATCCTCTTTTTTGAAAGAAGCCTTATAAAAGTACACATAGCTCAGTTTTTATAGAATGGTAAACAACAAATATCAATCCTTTTTTTCCCCTGTTCCTTCCACATTTCTTGGAAGATGTCCTTTTAATAAAGGTTTTTAAGCCTGTCTCAGAGGTCTTAACACAGTTTATTTCCCTTGATGTTGTAATACTGAACTGGTGCATAGCCCAGGACAAGCAATTACAGACAAGAGGAGACAGTTTCTATGGAAGAGGAAGAAAAAAAATAAAGTCATGTATTGAACTGTTTTGTATGATAGATATATATACTAACCCTTCTCTTTATATATGATTATGCTCTTAACTTCTTCAGTGAAATCTTAAAAACTACAGTTTTTCTACAGAGATATTTTTATTATTATTTTGATCTAGAAGCATAAAGGGAGTGATGTTGAATGGAAGGATTTGTGTTTGCATGATTTAAAAGTAAGGACTGCACAGGAAGAGAGTAGTTAAGACGTAGATTTTACATACTGGGTCTTCAGTGGACTGATTTGGATTCATGGATACATAATTCTCTTCACTGTCGTGTGAGTCACTGCTGGAAGTTGTGCTATGAACTGAATCCGGTCTGGGAGACATGGGAAACCTGGAGGAGCTAATTACCAGGAATTATTTTACAAACAATACATCTCGAATATCTTAAACCTCCTGGTAAACAACAAAAATAAGCACATTAGAGCTGAAATTTTCATTCAAGTTTACTAGAGTGTCACATTTTTTGGTTATACACAGTCCCTTACATTTAATATTACAAAATAAAAATTCATATGGACACGCTTTGTTTCAATGCACATGTGCATATATACATACACACACACACACTTCCAAAGGAAACCTCAATTTGTATTACACAGGCTAAAAATATAATACAGATGTACACACATTTATTAACACACTAGTCAACGAAAACAATTAATCCGAATGAGGAAAAGCTAAGAAAAACTTACTCTCGTGCAAAGCTTCTGGTGATAGGAGATCTAACTGGGGCTTGTAATTCTTCCCATTCAGGCAGAGGTTTTATTTCTAGTGGAGCCGGTTTTGCTATATAAGAAACAGACAATCTTAAAGCACAGAACATTCCTAAACAAACTTACAGATTTTCAAAGCCTAAATAAAAAAAAACCCAAACTATTTTTTAAATAGTAAACACTAGTTAGGAAAAGGAGACACTGTTCAGTTGTCAGAAAGCCATGATATATTAACTTATATTTTTAACCTTTCCAGGTACTGACAAGCAACATCAATTAGAAAAAAGCCCACAATGTAAGAATTTTGTAAGATATACTTGTGTGTAGTAATTCTGTTTTGAAAAGAGACTCTGAAAATGGCAGCATCATGTTCTGTCTATACTCTGCCATGATGATTTGTTGAACTGACAAGCCCAGGATAGGGTTGATGTACTGTTTCAGCTTAAACTGCCAGCAGAGCCAACTTTGGGTACTTTTCTTGGCTCATGGGCAATTATTATTATGCAAACTCTGCCCTCACTGCATACATGTACCCTTACTGGTGAGGTTTCACAGCTCAAAGTGTGGGCAGAACCTGCAGCTAAGACTAAGTTTGCAAAAGTGAGAGATGAGCCAACACCCAGCCTCAATTCCAAGAGGTGCTTGGCTTGCTTCAGTGCTTACCAACAGATGAGCAGAGTAGCGGCGTGTTTGCGCCGTTAATGACAGCTAACATTGTTCTAAAAAAGGTGCCATTTTTAAATTCCATTTTCAGAACAGAACCACAAATAGAGTGTTAGTGAGAAACGCGTTATCCCTCCCTCCAGCTTGTATGTTGCACCCCTTCTAAATGTTAGGGGGGTGTGCGTGGGGGGGAAGTATCATCTGTTCTATCATAGGACTTGGCGGCGTGGGGGGGAAATCACATAGAGTCAAACTGCTGTCACAGTTTGAATCTCAACTTCACCCTCCCTAAAACTGTTTTTAGGAAATAAAATGCAATGTCATTATAATAACACCCCTTTCTCTCCTCACCCCTCCCATCAGTTTGCTGCCTATTAGCAGATTTACCAAGATCAAATGTCAGGCATGTAGCACTAGTTCATGTGGAGTAAGAGCTGTCATAAGTGACCACATGAGGAACTGACAGAAATCAGTTGCTTAATCAGTGTCGTTGTCTCACAAGGAAAAAGCAGAACTGTACTCATTATACTCACTCTTCAGATTGAGTTTATTGAAAAGTCAGCTCTCTTACATATTGAACATAAGGACTCAGAATTCAAATTTTCTGGATAAGTATCAGTCTTTAGTATCCCAAACAGTTTTCTCCTTTTCTCTGTTAAGAAGTCGTAATTATGCACTCAAAGCATATCAAGCCTACTGCAGTAATTCTGCCACTTTAACCCACTTGCTCATAAAAAGCTGTCACCACAGACTCAGAAGAGGAACTACAACTCATCTATCTCAAGATATAAGGCATCATATGAAATAAGAGTGGCAGAACCAAACTTGACGTAGGCAAGATGATGCTAAAGGTTGAGTGACACACAAATGATCAGCTTGGCTCAAGTCCTCCGTAAAGGCCTGAGACTACATGGTAGGTATAATCAGTGGGCAAGGTACTGCTCCAGCAGAAAGAGAGTAAGGACTTTGTCCAAAGCCCACTGAG